GAAAGGCCCCCTGCCTGCAGCTTCACAGGCAACAGGCTGAGATTGCGCCGTGCCGTTTGGCACAATTTGGAGCAGCCGCGGATGTCAATGGTTGCTTCAAAAGTGTCAAGTGTCGCGAAGACAACCATGAAGCTGTTGAACGTGCAAAAATATCAGCAGTGCATGCACGGAGAGTTCGTAGCAGTTTATTGGCATTTTCGACACTGTGTGGAAACCTTAATAGGACAAGTAATGTATGGCTGCATGTGCATAGGTGCAGTCTCGCAGACTCGATATATGGCCGAAACTATGGTCGCCTTTGTTTGCTTAGACTCCGGGAACGAACCTTCGTCAAGGATGACAGAGCTCAATGGGAAAGCTATATAACGCTACTGGAAATCATCGGCTTCCTGTACCTTCTCTGAAGCAGCCGAAGCCCGTTTTGAGAGGCCCCTTCCTACATCTTGAAAAAGAGGGGGAGAGAGAGAGAGAGAGAGAGAGATAGATATGGAGAGTCCTCTACATTGGATGGGTCCAACCTTCCCAAATCAAAGGGTCATCGAGATGGAGCATGTGGGGGTAGGTGGCGGATGGGGGGGACAACACACTCAACTCTAGTCGCTCTTCCTCCAACCGACACAGAGGGTCCCGGATACCGGGGTGGGCGCTGACGCCCGGGGGCTTGCCCCCATGCCCCAAGAAAGAGAGAGAGAGAGAGAGAGAGAGAAAAAAAACAAACAAAGAAACAGAGAGCGTCCCCCTTGTCGTTCAGGAGCTCCGGGCCGGAGCTGCGCTGGCCAGGCACAGCGACGGAGAGAGGGGGATAGGGGGGGTTTCTGAACTGTTTCTGAACTCTCGAGTTCTCTCAATTCTTGTTGAGACCGTTTTGGGAATTGGAGAGTGATGTGTTCACCACGTTGCACGTTTACGTTTGCACAATTCGTGTGGGGAGCACAGTTGGCCCCGACTTGGGTCCAGAGAGCGTGCCAATGGTGGCTCCAGTCTGCACCGCTTTTCCCAGATTTCTTGCTTTCCCGAGGTGCCAGATCACCGGTGCACCGTGTGCGACTCCAACAGACTTGCGACTCCAGTTGATCTGCGGCCAGGACAAAGGATGAGAGTTGATGAGAGCTCGAAGAGTGAACTGGAGCTTTAAGACCTGGGTAATCCTGTGCAGAGATGGTGAGAACAATTGTTTCTTGACTCGCCTTTTGGATACTATTGGTCTTGCTTTGGCACGTGTTGTGCAGGACCTGCAATGCCGGGTCAGGAGCCATGTGTGCGTTGTTGCAAGCCTACAGCGTGTGTGTTTGCGTGTTTGTCTCTGTGTGTCTGACAGCAAAAGCTAGCCAAAGGGACATCTTGCACTGCTTGTGATTGGGGTAATTCAGGGGCTTGATGTTGTATGCTGAGTAGGGAGTCATGCAGTGAAGGGAGTACTACGGTCATGCATCGTCCTGTTCACAAGCAATCAGAGCTGCTGCTGCTGCTGCTGCTGCTGCTGCTGCTGCTGCTGCTGCTGCTGCTGCTGCTGCTGCTGCATATTGCCACTTTTTGTAGCCGACGAGTAAAGGAGCCCACCAGTATAAGTTTGTTGCGATGCCCACGTGGCTCTTCAGGAATACCTTCATTGACGTGTCGAACAAGGGTGGTAGCCGTATGCGCATGGATCTCAATGATCTCAACTTGCTTGCATAAGTACGTTGGAAACCACTTGGTCGTGACACGAAGTGCCCTCTTGAGGTTCAAGCTCCCTGCCTGGTCGACCATCTCGATGGGACGAGGACCGGAAGGCTTGTCCCTCCAGTGTCACAAAGGGCAGATTATGCAGGAGTTGCAACAAGTGCTGCCGCTGCCACCGGCGTTGCCAGTTATCACGCTGGAACATGCCGTTTGCCGAGACCTCGGTGAGTCTTGGTTGATCCAGGTACAAGTGTTGGAGCCAATGCAACACCAACCTAGACTCAATTAGACTCATTCTTTGTACAAGTAGGTCGCGGTGCGCCCCGACCGTGAATCCCGTACCGTTGCCAACCGCGGTGGTCCGCGGTCCGTTGTTGACCGCGAGGCCAGCGGATCGTGTGGGCCCCACGGTTAACCGTCGACCGCAGTGGTTCTGGGGTTGACCGCGGAAGCGCCTGACCGTGAAAATGTGGGGGAGGGGTCCGACTGTCGACTGGGCTGTAGCGGTTTGCGGTCCGGTTGCCCGGCAAACTCAGAAGCAACACAGGCTGAGACGGCAATTCCTGACCTACTTTCCCATAGCTGGTAAGCTCTTGCGGCCATCATCGAGGTGACCGGTTCGAGCTCCAAGCGATTCCGAATAAGCTAGTCCGGGACTCTGAGACGGTGTCGCTCTGCAGTCACGATGGCCTTTTTCTGCATGCCCATGGCATCCTCAAGGCCGAATACGAGAACGACTTCCAAGAGGCTCGTCGGATGGCAAACTAGACAGGAACACAGGAACTTCCAGTCGAGCTGGGTCGTGTCTGAGGCCGATGAACAGCAGCCATGGGAATACACCGAGGGCGGGTACTACTCAAACAACTTCTATCCAGGCCCGGCCAGTGCACGTCTGCGCAGGAGACTGTGCGTTATCTTAGATGGCACTTATCATTGCGTACTTCTCCTCGCATGGGCACGCGAGTTCTGTGGCGCAGGCCCCGATTTCGCAGCGGCACCTGACCACAAGGCCACCTTTTACAACGCTAGCATGTTGGCCGCTTCTCCATGTATCTTTGTGTCGCTATGTTCGATATGATAGCTTCATGTAAACATATACTGATTCTTGATAAACTGACGTGCATGCAGATATCTGTATATATCTATAGAAGCATACGACGAGTCGAGTCTAGTGCCTCAAGATAAAATGTTAGTATTGTATACATTTCACTGTGCTCACCCGTCAGTTAGGAGGAGGTGAAGTGCTATACCAAAGCACGACAGAAACTATTTGGAACAGTAGTCAGAAAATCGCTTAATCAAGGATATTTTGGAATCTTAATTCATCCAAATAGGACGAGAATTGCTACATGAAGTACTCTGTTGATATCTAGAGATAGTTACATTCGGACTCTAATTGCAATCAACTTCAGATCGTAGGAGCTTGCAGTAGTGAATATCTTAGTTCAATCCTGGAGGACATTCTGATCCTCACTGGCATGCTCAGCGGGATCATACGTTCCGATTCAGCTGTGAAGACCTCCTTACACACCCATCTGATCACCTGCTATGGTCTAGGATTTCAAGATACAGTAGGATCCTAGCTTGACCAAAATTATGACAAGTACATTGATCTACGGGGACGGGTTGGCTCTCTCTCTCTCTCTATACATATACATATACATATATATATATATACACATATTGTTTCTGTAAATGCTAAAGTTAGAGACTTTGTGTGAGTCCTTGCAAGACATAGTTGTACAAGGGTGTGCCCTGTATCCTGAAGTGCATATTTTGAAAAGAACACTAGAGCAACTGGGGGGGAGATCGGGAAGGGCAGGAGCCCTTCGGGATTTCACTGACGCCTCGCCCAGGGGCGTCGCGGTTCTGTTGATGTAACCTGCGGCTTGGATACTTCTATGCGCTGCGATTCTCGACAATCGACATTCCGCAGGCAACTGCGACCACAACGATCTCTTCACCATCAACGTTGTCCGAGGTGCCCCTCTTAACCACAGCTTGCCTAGCTTCAGCTCATGAACCCCTCTTGCACTTGCTACCTTTCTTCTCTTTCTTGCCCAACGGGGGGTGTGCTTTGGGCTTGGCTTTGGGGTGGGCTTTGGGGGGTCCTCGGGTTCTCGTTGTTGTGTGCTCCAGGCGATCACAGCAAAGGCTCGGAGCCGCGTGTGTGGGGGATGTCGTCGGAGATGTCGCGTTTTTTTATTCGCTTCTCAGGGTGAGCTGCACATGCTGCACCGTCGTGTTCAGGATCCCAAGAGGCGTGTGGAGAGCAGGGTGCAACTTGCCAGGTCTCTTCGTCAACGTTGGATCATAGCCCGAAGGGCAAAGGCCTGGCAGATGTGAAGTGGAGCAGCTCAAGCTGGCAAGAGTTTCTGAGAGGGCAGGTTGTGACGCACCTGTATTGCATGCAGCTGTGTCCGGTTAGCATTCTGGCCACGGGCGGTTCTGCCCCACATACGATGAGATGCGGCAAGGAGTCACAGTGCAAGCACAGGCAGCAGCTGTCTTCGAGCGGGTTGAGAGGCAGTTTGCTGTTGTCTGCAGCCGCCGCATGGACTAGAGCGGCTAGAGGGCGAGGTATGCGAGATCAGCACTTCTCGAGAAAGGCTACAGCCAGCCGTGAGCTTAAGCTCAAGCCCTTGTTCCGGAGCATCGCCCTGGAAGGAAACTGGGCAGAGGTTCTGGAAGCGGCGAGCACTCTGCGGGAGAGCGTTCCAAATGCTCAGGCTCCACGAAGGACTTTGCACAACTTGCAAAGCGCTTCGCGCGCTCCGCAAGCTCTGCAAGGGTTCGAGGCCGGCCTGGCATTTTTGGGGCCTGGGATACTGAGCCAGGCTGGTGGCCTGGCTGAGGCGACCGCCGCGCTCTCCAGCAAACTCGGGGTTCGTAGTCTTATCGCATGTGTTGTTGATGGAGCTGTTGGCTGTGAGCATTGTGAGCGGCCAGCCCAAACAAAGTCTTGGTTCCGGAAGCTGACGCGGCTGCGGTGGATGCGGTGGATGCGGCGGATGCGGTGGTTTCCTTGGTATCCTCAGAAGCCAGAATGCCCAGTCGTTGAGTTGGAGGAGAAGAATGATAAGAATGCCCTTTCCCTTGCCCTCTTTCAAAACTGCGGGGCCTTGCCGCTGGTAGTTGGCCGCGCGGACGAGGATCTCACCTTTGAAGAGGAGATCACTGTCCTGCCTAGACCTACACCTTAATGCTTAATGTACTACAGGTGCCAAGTCTCTGCCGTTCGCAGCATACTAAGTTGCTATTCAGGGGCTCTGAGAGTGCCACAGTTGTAGAACTGGACTTTGCCTTTCGGCAAAGCTTGTGTTGAGCTGAAGGGGGCGATGCATGGTCCGGGTGGTATGGTGACTGGGGCCCTGGTCCTGGCAGACAGCTTGGAGGCCTCGGAGGCAGCTACGAGACGTAGCGCGGTTATTGGGAGCGATTTTTGTTGTACTTTGCTAAAGTTAGCTTGAGGTGTAGGTCGTATGTATGTGTTGGGGGTCATGTTCGTTTGTCACATTGACGTGGCATCACGTTGCGACGCCGCGTCACCTCTCAAAGTCTGGACGCCATCTGAGGCATTTGCGCGATGTTCCCTGGTATCACTGCAGTGAGGGGCCGAGTGTGTTTTGCAACTGTTGTAACGATGGCCCTGCGCTTAGAAGCCAGGTCGGCACAGTGGCGGCCGCCCTCCACGAGTCTCCCTCACTCTGTGCCGCGGGCACGCAGCGCGGTTGGCCAGCTGGGCCTTGCGGTGCCCTGTGGGTGTGTCATGATGTGCCATGCACTTGCTGGATGAGTTGCCATACGGTACGGTATGCAGCGTGATGACGCCTGATGACACACCTTCATTTCTCTTGATCCTCTTGCCGTGCAGGCTCTGTGAAGCTCTGGGGCTCCGGGGCGCTTGCACTTCTTCTCCGTGGCCCCCGCCTGCAGGCCCACGTTTGATCATGTTTGCGTTCGCATGCCAATGTCTGTTGCCCCACAGCATCAACAATCGCTGTGGTGGCAGGCTGTCTCCTGCAGCGGCATGCGGGCATTGGGCCCATGCCTTGAAGTCACACGGAAGCAGAAGAAGAACGTGATCGAGAACAGGCTGAATTTGTCCGAGTTCGGGAAAAAGGGGGGGGGGGTTGCACAATTTTGGAAAAAACCAACATATTCCAAAAGACTTGAAACAGCATTGTTGAACTTTTGTGAGTCCTTTTTGCTCCAAGGAGCGCTTGGAGAGCGAGCCGGCATGGGCCAAGATCCAAGAGGTGCTATTTTGAGTATTCACTTGTATGCATGTGTGTGTGTCTGTGTAGTTGCGCAGTAGAGCTGTAGGCTTGGACCAATATTTCCCCAAAACCGCAAGCTGAGAAATAAATGATCGTGGGCACCTGAGAAAGGTCCTCATGCCCGCGATTCGGCACCATGATGTGTCATCTGCAACCGTGAGCAGGTGTTTCGTGACTCCACCCTCGAGGAACAGCTGCTTGCTCGAAGTCACGTGCTGACAGTCCCTTGACCTGGAGTATCTTGGAGCAACGTACCAGGCACGACATGGCAAAGTGAAGTCTCAGGTTGTTGCGCCTGTAGATGCTCAGGTCAGCGTCCAAAATCCGGGATGCGACTGCCAGATTCGTGTCGCCAGTAGGGTGCAGGCCTCCCAGGCAGTAGTGGTGGCGAATGCCACGGTCGAAGTTGGCGCCAAGATACAGATGATGGTCAGACCCTCGGCCTACAATGGAAGAATTCCCACCGAGTAGGTGCTTGTCTCCGAGCGTATGTTAGAGGAAGGACCAAGGCAGTGTGCATCAAGAAAAAGAATTGAACCAGCCGACATGAGCAAGGACATCGTGAGGAGGCGGAGCGCGAATTGCACCTTGGCTGTGAGAGCCGGTGCCGGGCGTTGCGCGAAGCAGTTTCTTACAGATGCAAAGCTTTATATGACTGCCTACAAAAGCATTCTTTTTTGAAAACCAGCTTGGGCATGATCCGCCTCTGACAAGGCGACTTCTCCCAAAGCGCCTAGCCCTCGAGTCCGCGTGCTCGCCGGGACGAGCAGAAGGTCACCCCAACGTGCTTTTCCGTGTCTTTCTAAAGGCCTTTCGGCAGTGCGAGATATTGCGAGGGTTCGTTCATGTGAGATGCTTCCAGCGACAAGTTTGAAGCGCGGCCTCTGACTTCGCACTTCCTGGGCGTTGTCGTGGTTGTCCTTTCCTCGATGTTTCCTGGTGCGTTTCGAATTTGTCGGCGCTTGTTCGGCTTTCCTTGGGCTGTGCTAGTGGTGGTGGTGGTGGTGGTGGTGGTGGTGGTGGTGGTGGTGATGGTGGGGGCGGCGGTAGTGGCGGTGGTGGTGCTGCTTCTGCCTTCTTCCTTGCTGCTGGAGTTACCACACGGTGCTGGTGGTGCTTGCTTTTTGTGACAGGAAGACTCAGAGGAGCGGGGAGCTTGGACCCAAGCTCGATACCGGCAAAGTGCACAACGTTAGCATGGGGCTCTTCCGGTACACGTTGCTTTTTTTACTTGCGGTGGCATTGTTCATATGCTTGGTTGGTTGTTGCTGTTCTTTGTTTGGGGAACGTGCCCCGACATTTGGGAACTTCTCGATGTGGGGCCTTGTCATGTCAAGACCCCGCAGCCGACTTCGCACACGGAGCCCACATGGTCGTTTCCATCTTCTTTGCTTCTCGAAGCTGTTGCTCTTGTGTTACCTGCTTCTCATGCACTCGCCACAACAGAACGAACCCCATCCCCCTCCCCTTGCAGGTTGCCTGCTCTTCTCCGATCGTGCGCGGGGCTTCCTGGCAGATGACATTGAAAGCCAACATGTGTACCGGTATGGACGAACCAGAACCCGTCTCCTAAAACCTAGGAGAGCAAAGTGAACGGAGGTTCTCTAGCATTTTAGGCTGCTCGCAGTAGGGCTGCTGAGGCAAGGCTCTCTTCGGCCAGCAGGGAGCGGATGCTGCGGCAGCCCAAAAGCTGGGTGTTGAGGTTGGGGCATCAGCATGGACAAGGGGTGATGCTTATGAGCCCCCTTTGCGACATTGTTATCGTGTTGCGTTTGGTTGCTTTCGGTGATGCTCCTCAGGTGGCCGGGTGCCTGGGCCGTGGCCAAGTCCTGGCCACAGATGCCGGTGTGGCTGCGCAGCGTCTCAGCGCTGTCTTCGCACTCCTCACCCACACCAAGGGCACTTAGGTGACTCGCTGAACCAGGCATGGAGTCTGGCCGCTGTCTTCAAGCGCGGGGCTTGCTATGGGTTGCTCCAGATGGAACTTGGAGATGTCCGTTCTGACGTGCGGACCGTACGGACCTACGGGCAGATGCACAGATCGCCATCGTTCCCTCCGCCAGTTGCGGGCCGACGTTTGCCGGTGGGGTCGGAACTTCACCCTGCTCTGATCCCAACGCCGGCATGGGCCGCGCCAATGGCCTGAAGGTGTCCGCAGTCCTGCGCCATGAGACGAGGCAGCTAAGAGATGTCATGCGGCATCGTGCGACCGTGTTCAAGTCAGAGAGTCTTTTCGCCGAGTCTCGCTCCTCAGCCGGAAAAATGGAGCACTGCAAAAGGATGCAAGCTCAGAGTTTGCCAAGCAGAGACGGGTGAAGAGTTCACCTCTTCAGAACTAATCAAACTGCGAAATGGATGCGAATCTATATAACCCATAAGGCCTGCGTTACATGCCTCACCCTGCTCTCCGATTCATCTGAGCTCTTTAGTCTCTGTAGCCTGGCTGTCCCACTTCGTGAGCTCTGTCTGCTGTAGTCTGGCAGACCTCTGGAGGACGTGGCAAATCATTTCAGAGCACCGCTACAGGCTCCCGGTGGTGGATGGAGTCTCCAGAGGTGTGGCTGTGGTGTGGCACATCCTGCGAGTTGTGTCTCTCGTCTGAACCGATGATGGTTCTGGCAGGTCTGTCCGATTTGCAACTTCCCGATTCGTCTTCTACCGTACCCCCCTTTCAAGCTGCAGGCGCGGGAAGTGCAGGGCAGGAAAGGGGACTTGATTGCAGCGTCGATCCCTTGTCCCTTTGACGCAGCATGTGGCATGATGAGTCGATGCGAAGCTTTTGGGCAAATGCTCAAAGTCACGCAGCAACACGGAACAAGCAGTGCCCACAAAAGCAGCATTTCATTGATCGGAACTTCTTTGACATCATCGCCCCTGGCAGGCCCTGAGCACACCCCCACTCCTAGGAGCCCCATGCCCAATGCCATGACACGCCATGCCGCCGAGCGACTTGCTGTTCCTGGGCTTGACGGCGGCCGCTGCCCTCCTGGTGCACCCAGTAATCCCACTGAAGTCCGAGAGTCCTGTTGAGTCGGCCGGCTAACCTGCAGAGGCATCTGCTTTGCCCCTTTGCTCTGCTTGACAGGGCTGCCATCTCCGCGGACGTGCCGCGCGCCGCCGGCTCCAAGAACTCCTGAAAGAGTTTGCGGGCCACGAGGCTCGCAAGACCGCGACTTCCATTACCTTCCATTCTATGTTTCGCATCGAGTGAGTGGGCCAGGGTCGCGTGGTCATCACAGGGGCTGGGACTGGCATTGGCAAGGACAGTATGGTGGTGGTCCGCAATGTTCGACACAACTCTGTGTTTCTTGACACTGCTTTGCCTTATCAGCAGAGGAACTCGCACACCTCCTATCACAGCATCCCTCAATCTCTGTGCTTCTGGGCTGTCAGCATGAGATCGAACGCCAAGAAGGTCGCACACGAGCCTTGGACTGGGCATGTGTGAGGTTGTTTTTCACGTTCTTGGGTCATTTTGGCTTGAGACAGCGATGTGGTCAATGATGTGTTGCCAAAATCAAGGAGTGCTGCCGCTGGAGCTGCTCGATTTGGATTCTGTGCAGCGCTTTGCGGCACCTGGGCGGCAAGAGAGGAGTGAGAGGAGGGCTTTCAATGCTTTCACGATGTTTCATGATGTTTCGGCTGATTGCAGTGCTCCGCAATAGAGTGGTGCCGTCGAAGCAGCTCACGTGCTGCTTTTAACATGCAGCACCCCTTTTTTAGGTCGAGGCACACCGTTTCCTGAGGGAGGGCAAGGATGGTCTGCGCATGTTGATCAACAATGCTGGCTTCAAGGACACATGCGCGCAAGTGTAGATTTTGGGTGCCTTCCTTCACCCTGGGGACCGCCGAACCGCAGGAGAAGGAAATCACCGTGCGTACGAAATATGGTCGGAAGCTTTGCGGAGCCGCAGGGGGGGGGCCCCTGTGGGCGTTTTCGTGCATGAGCGTTTTTGCGTGTTTCAAGGGTTTGACAAGTTCCGTGTTGGCATTGCGGCATTCTGAATTCCGATATCCGAGCCTTTGCCAGTCCAGACTCCGAGGTGTGAGCCGAACCTGGCAGGTGAACTTCTTGGGCCCTTTCCTCCTCACGGAGATCCTCGCCCGACTCCGAGAAACGGTATCTCAGCTGCGTCGTGGGGGCTCGCGTTCGCAGTCATTCACGACCTCGGCTCCACCCAGAATATTTCCACCTCGCTGCACTTGCAGGAAGGTCCTTCCCTGCCCGCCAGCGTCATCAATGTAGCCAGTGGCCATGAGTCGGAGTCCAGCTTGGATGAAGCTCTTCTGGACGCCCTGGCAGGCGCGTTTGCTTGCTGTGGGGGTTGCTTGTCTTGGAGGAGTGTTCTAATCACTGTAAGGGGCTGAGGCGGGCCCTGCCTTCTCTGACCCACATAGTGAATGCATGTACGACTGTGCTTGACTTTGGACTTCGGGGCAGGAGAGCGCGAGACCACAAGCCACGAGTATGCAGACTCAAAGACCCTCGTCTTCCCTAGAGGCCAACTTTGTGATTCCTACATTTGAAGTCCCCAAGCCCCTAAGCATCCCTAAATCCTGAAGACTTGGAGCCTGAAACCCGAAAGTACATCCTTAAAACATAAAGCCACCCTAAAAGCCCCCGAAACCCTTGAACAAGCCTTGAACCATCCGAGGCGGGCTTTGCTGTTGTGGACCTCCGTGCGCTCTCAAAGCCTCGCCTTGAAGGGTGCACTGGGCCGCCAGGAGGGTTTACGCACGTTCAAGTGCTGATTTTCAGAAGAGATCGGGTTCAGACTGGCTTCTTCCCAGCTGTAGGCTTGTGCCCCAAGAGCCGATCCTACCTAGTCAAAGTGGAGACTAGTGACGAGTGACTAGCAATGCGGCAATTTTCCGGATTTTGATGCGGCTGCTCCTAAGGCAACTTGTTTGCTCATGCGGTGTCGCCGGGCAAGGTGAACACAAGGCCGGCCACGGGTTCATGCAGGTTCATCAAACTTTGGGGCCGGGTGGGTTTTTTCAGGTTCGGCTGCGAGGACATCCCTTGGTGGCCTCTTGTCTTCAATATCTCGGATGGAGCACGGAGCTTGTGAAGTGATCCAGGTCACCACTGACACCAGCTTTCTGAGGCTGTGGGTGTGGTCTGCGCCAGCTCGGATGTTGATGTTCCGAACTGTGTCTGAGGCCAGGTTTACAGCTTGGAGCCAGTTTTTGCGGAGTGAGGGGCGTTAGTACTTCCGCCATAGCCTTCAGGGAGCATTGTCCATTGCCGCGGCCGGCTTGCGAAAGCATGCCACCAGCCTCTTGGCCCGGTGTGTACGTAGTTGGCTTCAGCTTCAGTTGTTCTGTGCGGTTCGTCGGGCTGTTTGCTGGAAGTAAGACAGCATTGCGTCAGTTCTTCTGTTGGGCAGTGTGCTTCACGTTGTCTCCGATATGGTCAGTTCTCAACATCATGGTCCCTTTTTGGGGTGCCCCAAAAAAAGAGGCGCCTTATAATCACCCCAAAAGGGACCCTAATTTAGAGAAATCACCATATGTCCCAGTCGACGTCCAAGTGGGCAGTCTTGTGCAAAGGCAAATTCGGCCAGTATTTCCGGGAGGAGGAGCTGCATCTCGCTCTCCAGATTAGCTTGGAGGGGCTTTCGTTGTTTTGGCAGAAAAGAGGAGAAGCAGGACTGCTCTAGCAATGAGGATGATGGACGCTGCTGGTGTTCCTAGGTCCGAGGATCTCGTCATCTGGAGGATGCAGCCTGGCTAATTTCCACGTCGCGCTCTCTTTTTTTCGATGGTCGGGAATGCTTGTCTTGGCCGTGCCCATGGCAATGCGAGGCCTGAGAAGCGCGTCTCAGTGCAGCTGGTGCGATGGGCGTCTCAGGCAGGATTTGTATGGTTGACCAGAACAACATTGCCATGTGCAGAGGCTTCCTGGGGAGAAGAGAGGTGCTTCTTGGTAGGAAGTGGGCACCTCTTGTTCTGACCGGTTCGGCTTAACTGTGGAGACTTGCCCCCACCTCAACACAAAGACTGCCAGCATCTTGGGATCTTGGCCCTCGTGCTGCTGTGACTCCAGGTTTTTGAAATAGAAGCAGGCTTGGTGGTATTTTATTTAGAACATGTCAGTCCTCTCTCAAAAAAGTGCTGTTTAAGCGAAACGCACCTAAATCAAGAAACCTGCAGGTAGCAGTCATGTTGTCTCGTGTCATCTTGCTTCAACATCTCCTACAGATGCAATCTGAGAAGCACAGAACTACATGTGTGCCCATAAACCTCGAATCTTGAAGTAGGTGACTGTTCGCCATGCGTCCATTAGGCGTGACCCTTGTTGTCGTCAAAAGATCAAGGTCGGAGCACGCCAAACAAACTAGCGGCAGCAATCGCACGAATAGCATGCAGTGCAATATGTACTTGGCGCAGTTGCAGTAGCAGAAGTTGTGGTAGTTGTAGTTGTAGTTAGCGGTGATAGTCGTAGAAGTCGTGATGTAGCTGTTTGCAGCAGTGAGTAGCATGGACACGCAGTGAACTTCTTGTGGCTGAAGCACTCGACAGGTCACATCGTTGAATGCACGCATGGGTGGCCGACCTTTGACACTTGAATGATGTTGCTGGGTGCAAAGATTCTCACGTCTTGGGCTTTAATTAGCTGTGTTGCCGGACGAGCACCCAGATTAGGCTGGCAGAGCCAGAAATTCGATGTGCAGCATGACATGAACTCAGCCGAAGCCAAGGGACATTGGTGGTCGTTCGCTCAGCGTCACGGACCTCGTGAACCAATCTAGCGGCGAGGACTTTCTGTTGTTGGCTGGGCTACCGTAAGAGGAGAAAGGCATGACTAGTAGCAAGCGCACAGTCCCAATGCGCCAACCTCGCGCGTGACCAGCTCTTGATGCAAGTGCAAGGCAAGCCCTTCTGCACGCTCCGAAACTTCAGAAACAAGATTCCAGGGTACGGCTCCGCTTTTCTTTCGTCCTGGTTTGCATGGGGTACTGGACGGTTCCGGGCAAGAGTTTGTGGAAGAAGGGTCCTTCTCCACTGCAGCTTTCTAATACTAGCACTTTTTCAGTTGTCTTTTTGGCAAAATGTCGGGCAGCACAGTAGAGGTTTGCAGAAAATGCAAGAGCACATGCCCAAACAACTGTGCCGCGAGCTGCTTCTGTTCGCACTTCAGCACGCGGGAAGAAGAACGATACCAATCTACCCCGACTGCGGCTGCAAGAAGGAAAGCAACTTGCACCGGCTTGAAGTGCGATGCGTGCCACACCTTCTGCGCAATGACTCCGACTGCCAGCCCGAGTGGCCTGAACTCACACACGGCTCACATCTTTGGCCCCCAAGAGCTGCGCTATCAGCTGTGTCGCGAAGTCGCCGACCACGCCGCGCATGCAGCACGCCGCACGTGCAGCACGCTGCAGCAAGCGCACCAGACGCGCGGAGCAGGGCGCCTGCGAAGGCTGCCAAGCAAGCAACGGGATACGAGATGATGGGAGCTGGAACTTCCCAGTCACCCGTCCAAGTCGACAGATGCTGACAGGCATGGCAATGCACAACGGAACTGCATGTAGCAGTCTTGCTGTAGAATGGTTGCCACGAAAGAGGTACCATGATGAAACTAAGTTCGGGTAACCTGAGCTTGGGTTGAGACTGGAGGATGTTTGGTCGTCGGCGGAGCGGCGTTGGCGCTATCGTGAGCGACAGGCAGGGCTAACGCCATGAGATGCAAGCATTCATGTTGTGGGTTTGGTTTTTCCTCACGAAAGCTAGCGGCGCGTCTGATCAGGCGATAGCTGGCAACATTTTGTGGGTGACCCTCCGCTGGATCTCGATGTACTCCCCTTCAAGGGTAGAAACGGGACCCAAAAATGTCGTTGCAAATGTTGACTTTTTTGGCTTTCTCTGGGGAGCTATTGCCTCATGAGCCAGGTATGCTCAGCGTACCGTAGAGTCACGAAGCTCGTGTCTAACAATTCAACAACTAGCGACTAGATTTTGTTCCAGTCCCCCAGAAGCTTTGCTGGCTCATGCCTCAGCAATCCTTGGGCACATCCGGCTTCACGGGGTGAGCCTGGAGGTAGTAGGCAAGTACGTTAACGTGAGGTGCACGACGTTACGCCCGGTCAGCTCCCTTTTTCGTTCCAAAGTGTTGCGATTGGCAGGTCAGCCCACCGAACGAAGGCCGTTCAGATTTCATAGTGCATTTCGTTTCATTCAAGCGACTTCCTCTGCTGTCCAGCCATGTCTGCACCAGTTGAGGGGCGTTGTGGTCAGGCTATGACGAGCCTATTCTACCCATCTGAACAAGGCTGTCTGGAGGTCCCTCATCAGATACTTGGCAGTATTGGGATGGATTTGTGGCGCTAGGAGGCTGTAGTCGCTGTAGTCAGCACCAGGCTTCGTAACCGAAGACCGAGGAGTCGTTGCACTCGAAGACCAGCGTGGACGTGCTGAGCAAACTCGTCTGAGTCAGTCTGGTTTGGCCAGGCTGCCGATCTTCCCAGAGCTTGTCGTTGCACACCTGTGCCAAAGCGCACAAATCACGATGCCGTTCGCGGAGAGAAACAACGTGGGCACCTGCTAACAAGACAGCTTGTAAGCTGGAGTTTCGCATTGAAGAAGCAATTCGATGGCACAGCCTCGACAAGTTTCATTTCATGCCATCAGTTCAGTTCTTCTCCCTTGATAGCCACACCTTCTGCGCCAGGTTACCGGCTGCGACTCGCGTGAACCGGCCAAGCTTGTTGACGGCCCCTTCATGGTTCTGCAGGCCTCTGACGTGAGAAAGCTTGGCGTGAGCAAAACCCCTTAGTAAAAATGGTGTTTTCTGGGGGCCTTGTAGTATATTTGATTTGGGCTTTCTCCTTTCACCCTTTAATGCTGTAGGCAAAGGCCCCATGACAATATAAGCCTCTTGGAGCGCTTTATATTATTGGCACGTATATGATGAATATCTTTTCCCACGAACAAATAGAATACGCGAACGCCCGGGGTGTTCAATTCCTTGGATCACCAGGCTACAGGCCCCTTTCTAGCGAATCGTGGCAGCCCCACTACAGTACCATGCCGCGCAGGTGCTGAGCACGTGGAACTTTGATGTTCTGGGCCATGAGCTGACAGCGTGCGACATCAAAGCGTTGGACTCGTGCGCCCAGTGACACGGGATCGCCTGCGCTCAGCTCGTAGACGCCTCCGATTTCGAAAGATTCTCAGGCAGTTTCCGGTGGTTTAGAAGAGGTGACCGGCGCTGTATGCGGAAGGCCATGCTTTCATGTTGCTCAGGTACATGAAGTGTCTTGGCGGCAAGGCAGCAAGATTCAAGCAAGGCCTGTGCCACCAGCGGGAGGCCATCAAGAAGTCTAGCGAGTCTAGCGTCGGTTCCCCTTTGTCAGGTTTCCTTGCAGTGCCAGATCTGGCAAGATGCCACGTTTCGCTCTTTCTTTGTTTCTCTCTCTCTCTCTTTCTCTCTCTCTCGCTCCCTCTTTTTCAATTTTTGGGCTCTCTCCCTCTCAATGCATCTCGAACCCTCTTTTCCCTCATCTCCCTACTTTCAAGCTCTGAGGCGCTGCAAGCTGGGGCCCTTCCGGCTGGGAAGGGCGCTGGAGCTGCTCAGCGACCCCAGCCACGAGGTGAGCATCTGACCGCACTCCACCCATCAGAGAATCTTGAGAAAATCCTGAAAAAATCCTGAGAGAGAGAATCCTGTGAACGCAATGCGCTTCCTACAGCTCTCAAAGGCTTGAAAAGGGCCCAGCGCCGTTGCTAGAGAGCTGCTGCCAGCGAGCCGGCACGGCGGTTCACGGTCAGGCAAGGGAAGAGTTGGAGTCCCTTCGCAGCAAAGCCCGAAGGCGCCTGGAGGCCAGGAGTTGTGTGGGGTTTATAGGATTGCTTATGACCTGCTCCTTGCTTGAGTGGAGATTTCCGCGTGGCAGGGCTTGAAGCACATCCAGCGAGTTCGTATGAACCGCTTGGACGTGAATCCGGATGAAGAAGGCCCGGCTTTTGGCTCACAATTTGCGTTGCCGCTCCCAATTCTCAAAGTCATGTGTCCTGGCTCTTTGGATTCTTCCTGTGGAAAGAGACAGCAGCTGCCTCATTTCGAAACTTTGAAGAGGTGACGGCGCCATTGAAAGCCCAACGATTGTCGTGGTCCTGAGGGTGAGTTTCCGTTGCAAGCAATTCTGGAGCTCTGCAATGGCAGCTGCTCAACCAGAAGCTGTCATTAATTCCGATGCGAGTCGATTTGGAGTGCCTTCTTGGAGCACCGTCATATGAAGCACGCCTGTGTCACTGAAGATGAGGTAGCAGCTGAGACAAGTCAGGGCCACAGTTGTCAGAAGCTCGCACCACCTAGGGACCCTCTCTCAAGCCCATATCCTCTGTGGAATCACATTGGCTATTCCCCTCCCGCCCCTACCCCAGGACGAAGGACCTATAGTTCGGAAGCACTTACCGCAGCCGACATTGAATGCGAAGCACCATCGTCCCGAATCTCAGCACCAAGCAGCCATACCGGCTGCGCTGGCTTCTGAAACATGGCCGAAAGATTTAAGCTGTGCAGCCAGATCCCTCGTCAACAGATCTGCTAGATCCCGAAGCCGCGATGTTCCCCCAAAGCCCCGAGAGGCCCATTGCATTCTTGAGGCATCCGAAGAGGTCGCCGGGGGCAGCCTTGGAGGCTGATGAGGGTTTGAGATTGGTTCAAGACGGGGGCTCTTTTGGGTTTTTGGGTTCAGATAATTGCCAAGCAGTCTGGAATCCTCTCGTGTTTTCGTGATGACTTGCTCTGACTTGCTCCGGTCTGGGCTAGCATTGCTTTCTTCAGCCAAACCCGGCCAGATAGCGCGCGGTTCTGCCAGCAAGCTTCAAGCATCCGTTCCTCCATTCGTGACGTGACCCAGTCAGAGCCGATTCTGAACTTGAATCAGGATGCAGCAAAGGGTCGTAGTCGAATGCAAACTTGGCAGGCAGCATGGTGGGCTGCCGGTCTCGGCCTTTGCTATGTGCTGTCCCTTTGAGCAACAGGCTACAATGTGCTCCAGTAGCTGGTCAAATGGTAGGATGGGGAGAGCCTGACTTGTTTCATGGTTTCTAGAACTGTTAAAGTTGCCCCTAGCCTCTAGAACAACCTGCCTCCTGACGTTAGGCCCATCCGCAGTCGACGAAGGCCGTGCGATCATTTGTGAGCCCAGCTCGTTTCTTGCGTAGCTCCAAGCGACGTCTTCTCCACGTACAGATGCGACTTGCTCCCAGTAGCAGCCAAGTGAGGTCCTTTGTCGTTGAAGGGTCCTTTGTCGTTGAGCAACACTGTATACAGAAGTTCAATGCAGATGAATGTGACGGCCGAAACGTTCCAAATGCTCATTATTCTGTTCTTGCTTTGCCATCATTGAAAGCTCGAGTCGACGGTGAGCCTCCGCCTTCCTGCGCTGACCACCAGTTGGTATGCTCCCAGGGGCCCCTTCTCTTTGCTCCCCCGGCAACGAGAGCCATGCGTCGCTGTTAGGGTCTAGGGTTTTCCAGATGAAAACAATCCATCATCGTGAATTCTCTTGCCCACCACGACGCATCATTACGATTTGTAAAACACTGTTGGCATACAGGAAGAAGGAAAATGCAGATGGCACGAAACAATGTAGCACAACAAAATGCCCCACAGAACGCACGTGCCGTAATGCGGGCCCACAGCATGCCTTCTGCGAAGGTTTTTTGCGCCCTGTCAAAAAATGGTGCATTCGGCGGAGGACCCCTCGCGACCTAAAGAGACCCTGGGCACCTTTGAGCAGCCGGAACGAATTTTAGGCAGACCTTGCGTGAGATTTTCGAGTGAGGGAGACGAACGTAACGATCCAAAAGAGTACCGAAAGTTCGAGCTCAAACCGTTAAAGAAATCGGAACAGATGTGTGAATGCCATAGGACGGGCATCTTCCGCCCCGAAGTTACCACGAAAATCCACCTAAATCTGTTCTGTTTTCGTTCTGTACTTGATGTACACCACATCTTGATGGTCTTGTGGCGTGGCAGGGTCATCGATACGCGCAGTGAAGTTGGCCCTGGCCCCCGGCTTGGCTACCATAGCAACTGCAGACGCGTGAGAGGGATTTGGTTTGGTTGCGGCAGCCTTTGAATCTGAATAATCTTACGTTTGTATGTGTACTTCTGGGTCCTGTCACTACCTAACGGAAGTTGCCAAGAGAGTTACAAAATGGATATTCACACATGATAACTACCACTCCAGTATGTTCTTTGTGCCTCAGGCCATGCCGAAGTTTGTCAGGAAGCAGCGTGCGGCACTCCAGCAAAGCTGCATTGCGTTTGTCGCCCTGAAGGTTCTTCCAAAGTAGACAATGAGGGTTCCCCTGTCGTCAACGGTACCCTTTACCAGACCCTACTTTGGAACAACCAGCCTCCTGAAACGTGCAAAGAGGACTCTTGCCGCCCCGTTGCTTGATACTTCTGAGGTCGTGCAAACTCCGCAGAGCCGTAGAACTAGCGAACTAATCTTGACTAGCGCGTCTTCAACCCTCGAGCGTTCTCCAAAGTTTTGGAGATGCCTGTTCAGGCAAGGAATGCCTCCCGCCTCTGTAGACTGCGCCCATTTAGAGGTTCAAAGGCCATCAGAACTGTCATGAAGTTAGCTGGGCTCGGGGTTTCGGCTTCAGGCTCTCGAAAGTCCCAGAGACACAAGAGGTTTGAGATAGCAAGTGATCTGGCCGGCATTCCTCACTGTGTTGCTCGACTGGAGACGTGCTAATGTCCGAACATGGCAGATATGCCAACAGGCCTGTGCCAGTAGTCGCTTGGGAACCTTTCACTTGGTGTTTAAAATTCTGCACTTCCCAACGCTAAGTCTTGCTTGCTCGTCCGAGTGACCATCAGCATGGCATTGGCGCGTCAAACGGGATTTGGGACCGAATACCAGTTCTCCTGTAGTTGCACATTGCAGTGGCCCCCTTGTTCGCTTGATCATTCGGCCGATGGAGATGGAGTCTGGCACAGAGTTGGCATATTCGGCCAAGAGATTTTCGGATCTTGTTGCCCACTGCATGTTCCCATGTCGCCTCCTAACGCGAAAACTGCAATGACTGCTCCTATGATGGGTTTTTGTCAATCTTTTTCTGTTCTGCCACAACGGCGCTGTAGGGTGAAGATGTAGGGACTTCCATTTGCATATACTTGCAAATATTTGCATACTTGCGCCTGACCGGCAGATCGGTGCTCTTCGCGGCTTGCATTAAACAAGTTGGTCACAAGTGGCAAAAGCATCGCAAGCTGCCCTGTTTATCCCTGCTTCTCCTTCTGAAAGAGTGGCTAGGGTTCCCAGAAATCGTGCCACTTTCCGCCCGACCTGGAAATGCTAAGTCGCTTAATCACTGTGTGGGGACCACAGACCCTCCCTCAACGGGCCGCACTGGGTCATTTGACGAGTCACTTTAGTGCACTGTGACTCCGAGATATCCAAGGCTAGGGACTGCGGACTCCTTCCATCCTGGGCTGATCTTAGGACAGCCTTTTAGGTCACGGACGCTTTCGGGCTGCAACAGGCAGAAGCATCGGCAAAAGCACCATTCGGAGCTTTTCCCCACGATCATCTGCCGTCTTTTCTTGCATGATGCCAGCCTGTTGAGCCTCAGCCTGGATCGACAAAAACCTCTGTCTCGCCCGTTCAAAGTTTTAAACTTGCGGTCGGAGGATGCCAAGGCATCTAATTAGTGCTTCGCCAACCCAGAAGTCACCACGTGCTTCGCGTGCTCAGTCCCGAACCCTTCAGAAAATTGCAAGTTCTGAACATGAACATGGAGTAGTTCTGGGCAGTATACCTGCGTGGGCTTGAGGTCGCTCCTAGTGCAGTGTTCCTTCGTCTCAGGACCGACCCAGGCAATTCTACCGGCTGTGGCCCACAAATTAAGAGCCCAGAACAGCGGTGTCTTTTGTGTTGATTCATGCTTGTTCTCTTTGCTGAAGCCTGCCAGCTGGGTCCTTGCATACATGGCTTGGTTGAAGTGTTGTCCCGCGCGACTCGATCCACCGCCGGGTGCGGAGTTCACCCTTTATCAAGCGGAGGGCTTACGACTCCTGCGACTCCGAGGTTTGTTTGGCAGCATCCCTGACACAGTCGTTTCAAGTCAGGTAGAAAGACGTATATAGAGCATCCTTGCTTCTACCTTCCTTAAGTGAAGCTGCCTGTGCTTTCTTGGTGGCACTGCGCACGGCGAGTGCGCGGGGCTTTGTTTGTCCGCCCTGGAAGACGTGCAAAGTGCCCGCAACTGCCAGGGAGATGTGAAGTTTTACGAACTTTTGTTTTGCTGCATGGCTTCGTGTCGATCTGCTGTGGCTGAAGCGACGCAGACACATGAAAGGGAGATCACTTGGTTGTCGTGTAGCATAGCAGATCGCAAAAGTTCCGATGTCCAGAAAAGGACATGCAGACAGAGTCTGACGGCTGAGTGGGGGGCCGAACCGACAAAAGTGCAGCGGTCTAGGGCAAGAAGGGTACCGCGAGCCCGAAAACTTCGTTGTATTGTGGAAAACCCGAAGGCCTGCTCCAGCGCAATGTCAGCAAGGGCTGGCCTCATCCGGCCACCGTTCGATGGGTAAGTCTATGACGTGGCCCGTCCCACGACCATAAGGGGTGTGTGCCTTGTAGCTACAGAACGCTTGTATCTTCGAGCTCCTTATACAGAGGGCTTCCTCCCACAAGCGACCTAATCAAACGCTGGCCTGGCTATTCTAGGCCATATCGTAGCCTTGACAAATAGCATCCCATGTGCCGCACCTCGAGATGGAAGTTCTTGTAGTACTCCCTGCAGGATGTGCACAAGGGCACTCGCATCGAGACCCTTCTGCCCGTTTCGGTTGGTTCAAAGAGACGACGTGTTGCTGTCATCAGGATTGACCTTCGAATGTCACAGACGTATTGCTGTCACCGGGATGGGGCGAGGAAGCGCTTGACCCCGTAAACAGCGGGCCGGCGCAGCTAGCTAGTGGTGTGTGCTCTGGCGAGCATCGCCTGGACTGAGCTCCGCTTCTGTCACCACCCAGTTGCCTGGTATCAACATCTTAACTCAGCATGCCGTGAGGAACCATTGTTGGCAAGACATGTGTGCAGCTTGGGTG